TCATTGCGTAGGCTACTAGAGAAAATTATTTCATAATGTGACCCCCCCCCCCCTCACTTTTTTTACGTCTATTGAACGTTAGATTATTATTATTTTCTCTTTTTGACATTTTTGAATAAAAGATCAAATTGATAAACAATGCAGACTTATTTTCACCGCCTTCTTTGATCATTTATTTACCAAGGGTGTAAATAATTTTGAGCACAACTGTAGGTCTACTTTAAGTTATGAATTAAGCTTGATTGGATCTGTTTTAACATGTTTGTTGTTCATGTAAGCCCTAAAATAGAAAATTAAAGCATGCACAGAACAAGCTAGAACTTGATAAACTGGAATATCTTAGTTTATTTCCCTTTTAGTCCAATATGGTCAATGAAAAGATTTCTCCAGCCCCGTGTATACAGTTTGTGTCTTAATAAATGCATACATGTTAGTTATTTTATTTTGTTCTCTCACATTATTTTTGCATAGCCATTTTTGTTCTCTTTCAGACCTTAGAAATAATTTAGCCTTTTTTGCTACTGTGTATTATAGATTGATAATTGATCAACCTCTTTGCATGTGAAATTATTATGTATTTGCTGTTTTTTGCTTTTCTCATTAGCTATAACCTTTTAACTCTTATTTATTATTTTAACTTCACAGAATTCAACTGATTACTGTACTTACTCAAGAGGGGTCATGCCGAGTATGTAGAGGAAGAAGAGTTTGTTGGAGTTTTCTGCCAAAGCATCTTAAGTCTCCATCAAACAGATCATCTAAAGGCAGGGAACCTGCCATCAGGATCTGAAATAGCCTTTATATGCATATAAACAGAGACCTGAAGTACCTCTCAGTGAACAGGAATGCAAGTACCGGGATCTAATTCATTATTTAATGTGAAGTTGTAAAGAAAGAAATAGCTTCATGAAATCTGAGGGTGAAACATTTTCCTTCACTTTGATGGACTAAAATGGATTAAATAATCCTTGTTTGCATTTTATATGGACATGTTATTGCTGAGGACCATTATATCCACCATTGCTGCCATCATCGCTACTAATTTTGAACTTTGCTTCTGTGGATGTGCCCGTGCTGAATATGATATAGATGGAGAATGCTGCCCCATGTGTGCCCCTGGTAAAGTACAAATGTTTACTTTGGATTCTGTACAATAAAAGCTGGAATACACTACACAAACTCTGGACAGATTTTTGCCCAATGTTTGCAGTCTGGAGAAGTTGCTGTTAGTTGCCGAAAGTCAGAGCCAGTCTGCAACTTGTGGGCAGGCAGAGTTGACAGATTTGACAGAAAATAGTGTGTGATGGTAAAGAATCAAGATTTTTTATCTTCAGGCTATGATTCTATCCAGTTGGGAGATCAAACATGTTTAATATTTTAAAATGATTTTTGAACATTCATTTGTCATATGTCTTGAAGCAACGAGACATGTTTCTGTGTGAGCTGAGTTTGAAACGTTTGGAAAAACTGGAAGTGTGCAATCCTCAATGATGTATTGTATGGTGTCCAGGTTTTCCTGGTAACCATAATGTATAATGCCAAGTGTTTTCAAATCTGTTCAAATTTTAAAAGTTGTGTAGCGTATTCTGGCTGTGAGTAATGTTAACCAATTTAACAAATAATAAGAGTTAATAGATCCTAAATAGTTAAGTTAAAATTTAAAGTTAAAAGTTATGTTTTAAAGACAGAGAGCACAAAGATACACTGTTTTCAAACGTGTATTACACAAGTCATTTAAACTATTGATTCAGTTTTATTAAAATGCTGTTATGGCTATGTTGTGAAAAACTTTTTGTCTGTAAGACGGACATGACTAGTGTCAGCTGATAAAGTCATAAATCAGCTGATAAGTCATGTGATGCAGCAAAGAGGTCACTTGACCAAAAAAGTTTCCATGACTATGTTTGTTTGATATGTAATCATTTTCTTTAAAGAAAAAACTTGCTTTACCTTTCTTGTAGGGAACCGTGTTTATTGGCATTGTACTATAGACACAAGTACAACATGTGTTCCTTGTCCTGTATCAACTTACACAGATGAATCCAGTGGACTCACAAAATGTTTTTCCTGCACTGTGTGTGATACAGGTGTGTGCCCATTAACGCAATGGTAACGAGATATAAAACCGTAATAAGAAAGTGCTGTCTAATGTATTTACACTTTAAATATGATTAGTTGCTTTGTTTTTGTGTCCACAGTCCAACACTTAAAATTGAAAAAGGCCTGTACACGCTCTGCAGATACAATTTGTGAGCCTAAGGAAGGATTCCATTGCATTAAACTAAATAAAGACTCCTGTGCATTAGCAGTGGAACACACTGAATGTAAACCTGGACAATATATTAAACAAACAGGTGAGTGTATATATACTCAATTGTAGAGTTTTAAAAGCAGGGACAAAATGCATGCAAAATTTATTTTAGCTATTGTATTTTACCCTAGGTACCAAAAAAAGACGCTTTAATGACATTTTAAATACATTTTATATTTGATCTTTTTACAGGAACACCATTTACAGATACCGTATGTGCTGGCTGCACAGATGGAACTTATTCAAATGGCTCTCTGATGGCCTGCCTACCACATTCAAAGTGAGAAGTGTCCACAGATCAGAGAATTTCATTTAAAGATTACTCTAAAACTGGATATACTAATATCACTGAATTAAATATCTTCAGATGTGAGACTATGGGACTTACAGAAATAAAAGCAGGAACAACATCCTCTAATGCTGAATGTGAGAAAGTGACTTCAGTTGGTCTTATAGTTGGAGTCACAATTACAGTTCTTGTAGCTGTAGCTGTGACATTATTAGCATGCATCATATACAGAAAACATAAAGCAAGGCACTCTAACGAAAGTAAGAACTCAATTCTTACTATAAAATTGCAGTAAATGCTCATTTTAACGTTACTATAATTAACATTAACAGTACTAATATTTTTTATATTGCAGGTGTCTGTTACACCCCACAACAAGCAACTGAGGATGATGAATCGGTAAGTGAATATTTGACCTGTTCTTTATTAATGCAGTTAAACATTTCAACATTTTATTTATTCTTTTTTAAAGAAATGGTAGACTCAGTTGGACCTACTTTGATAAACCAGTATTAACAGGTAAGAGCCAAAAGCTGATCAATAGGATCTTTATATTATAGTATAGTATAGTATATTATATAAGAGTGGTCACATGAAACCTGTTGTGTAGTTCTTCCTTTGAAAAAGTGCTTTCTAGTAAAGGTCCTGACATTTCAGAATCTATGACCCAGAATCTCCAAATGACAACCATTTATTTTTCAGCACTGATTTTTCTTAAACAAAATAAATGACTACTATAGAGTGCATTCAATTGACTTTAATTGACTTTAGGGAAAAAATAAGATATAAATTGTATGACATGACAATTTAATTATTAATGATATAATGTTCATGTAATTATTTTCAGATATTGTTGTCTAGACTAGTGAGAGGGAAAAGCTTTTCTAAACTCTGAATCAGTTGAATCAAGTGCTTTGCAAAATGATTTGCTCTTTCAAATCACTTGAAGCAGCACATTCTGGTGGCACCTATAGTCATAACATAAGGAGAACACCACACGAATGTGTAATGACACCTTTTGCAAATTGTTAAGGTTTTCATAAAAGTATAATCTATCAAATCATTAAATATCATAAAACATGAAGTGTATGTTTTTGTGTTCTTTTATTGATTTTAGTGTTTGTTTTGTGTTTTTTGAGAGGGCTTGCTATCAGGCCAATCTGAGACAAGGCCTATATAACATCACTCTCTATTTTTCCATATATGACTGTCATTAAAACTGAACCTAAATTATAAAGCTCAATGATCAGTTAAAACCATATCTCTGCTTCATTGGTCAACAAGATCCACGACCTTTGTGAACCATTGTGAACATTTACAAATGTAAAAAAAACAATCTAGCATCTATCACTAGTCTAGAACCTCTCATTGCTTGATGTGTGTTCACTTAAATGACAAAAGTAGTGCAGTGAAATTAAAAGACCATTGTGGGAAAAAATGCGCATTACACAGGCCAATTTTGTGTTGAGTCATACAGGACATAAAGGCATTTTTACAGATCACATTATGAGGAAAATATGGCTCAAGCACATGGCCTAAAACTAACTTTTTGCCACACCTGCCAATGGTCGGTGATGTGATTAAATTTACCAGTCAAATTTTTTTTTTTACCAGCCATTAAACAATTTTTGCAAAAACAGGCAGTTATTACTACTACAATGACTAAACATATTTACAATGTTTTTAATTTGTCCTTTACTTACAAGAAAAAAAAACAACAAACAGTTGTTTTTTTATCCCTATAAAACAATGAGATGCATACTCTGTTTGCAGTGCGTAGCCTGGTGTGTATTTTTTTCACCGCATCCATGTTAACAAATTAAAGCAGGGCTATTCAATTAGCTTCATTTGAGGGCCGGATTATCGAACTGAAAATTTGAAGGGGACCAAGGGAGTGGAGGCCATCTGGATCTCTTTCTGGGGGGACCTATAAAATTAGAACTTAAATTGAAATCTAAAATCTATAAAAGGTTAACATTAGTGTTGTCTGTCAATCGATTAAAAAAATAATTAATCACATTTTTCTGTAATCATGATGAATCGCATATTTATATTTCACATTGAACCTCCAAATGAATGTAGAAACAACATATAGATAGTATTTTTAAAATGTTTTTAATGGTATCTTTTTACTAAGTAACCTATTGTTAATGAAGTATTGATCCCAATACTGCTTCTGGCGTCTCTATTAAATGCATTTTTCCTCAATTTTACCTAGCCTTTTAATTATAGCCATTCAACATTACAGTATAATTGTGACTTACAATGGTTGAACACGAAAGAAGATATTTTGAAAAATGTTAGTATCCAATCAGTTGATGGGCACCATTGACTTCCATAGTAGGAAAAAAAATTACTATGGAAGTCAATGTAAAACCTGAGCCGAACGAGCAACCTTTGCACCGTTTAGTTGCCGTAAATCCCAGGTATTTGTCGCCACATTCTCGGGTTATAAAGAATAGAGAAGGGAAAAGTTAATCTTCCTAAATGAAGCAGCAATATCTTCTCAGGTAAAAGTTATTAGAACCATGTCTAGGGACAAGCTGGCCATCACACTGCTCTGACCTTATCAGTGAGGGGTGTATCTTCTTCCTGCGCCCATCCATGCCCCGTATGTTACGTCTACTGTAAAAACGCCAATCAAATAACCTGCCAAAAGCTGTGACTTCATGATTTATATTTACATCAACCACAGCATCTCAGATGAACGCTCGCAGAACTTGCTGCTCTGTTAAGGTCGATGGTGAAGCATGTGTGATCTATAGGGCTCCATTTGAAGCATAGGGTCAGAGTAAACGTTTTTTGCATAGTCATTGAATCTCTGCATAAAGTATGAAAACACCTAAGTGAAACGCATGCTCGATTATATATTCGTGAAAATATGCAGACATATTTTTTTTATCATTATACAACACGCTTTGCTTATGGCCGCTGACAATTTATTACACTTGTTAAATTCTGCCACCAGAATCACTTGCAACTGTATCGTATGCATTATTTCCTTGTTTACATGTCTGGTCTGCTGTCTTCCCACCCCGAGATTAGTAAATAACTGTTACTTTATGTGTTGTTTGTAGGATCAATAGTTCGCAGTGACTGTAGTGGGGACTTAAGTACTGCATGCAAACCCTGCACTCCAGGAACATTCATTAGTGAACCTAATGGCCTTCCTAAATGTTTCACATGCAGAAACTGTGTTGAAAGTATGTATTTTTAATGTTTTTTTAACCTTCAGAATGTGTCATTTTATTCTATTACTTATGTATGATTTGCTATGTGTCCTCTTTTAGGTCAAGGCTTTTACATCCAGCGTAAATGCACTACAATACAAGACACCATCTGTGGTGTACTTGATGGATATTACTGCATTGATTACTCAAATTTACAGTGCAGTCATGCTCAAAAACACAGTGTTTGCAAACCAGGACAAGAAACAAAAACACCAGGTATTGTTTCAGAATACTTAAAAAAAAATCTTATATATTCCTATAAAAAAATCCTATATTTTTCATGATTTAATGTTCAAAGGGATAGTTCACCCAAACAGGTGTTTTTTAAGAATTTTTTTGTGTCTGCTTACAGGAACAAAGACATCAGATACAGTATGTGTGGACTGCCCTCATGGGTTTTATTCTCCATTAGGTCTGAACTGCACCAAATGGACAGAGTAAGTAAAATATTATTTGTACTTCCTGAAGTATTTGCATTTTTATCTGTAATTAATGATGTTTATTTTTTCTCAGTTGTTCAGCTAGGAATGAAATAGAGACAGACAATGGCAGCTCTGATAAAGATGCCACATGCACACCGAAAAGACGGAAAAGATATGGTCTCATTTTTGCAATAGTTTTAACACCATTATTCTACATAATTCTATACCTTGCCCCACAGAGCACAAGTGAGTACATGCTGGATTCATCTGAGTTTTAATTTTTCACACAGTGCAATCAGAATGGTTTGATTAAAGAAGCCTGGATAGCAAATAACTAACCAAATGCTAGTGGTTTTGCTGGTGATTATTAAAATGAAAGATTATAATGAATCAATGAATTGAATCATTAATAAATGCCCTTAATTTTGTATTGTGATAAAATTGTGATCTTGCTTGTATAGAGATCAGACTAATACATTTTATTTAAAAAGACTTTAACATCACAGAATCTTGTATTAGATTTAGTTATTCTCATTAAGTTTGTTAGTAGGGTAAGAAATGTTAATACATATAAAATCAATAATAAACATAAATAATAAAAATAAATAAATCATATACATAAAATGGCAATACACAATATACCCACAATTTAAGTCTTCTTTTAAGAAGAGACTTGGTTTTAACAGTTTATTTTTGGCGTGTTTTTTAATTTTTGTCCTGTTACAGAATGTACTAAATATGTTTGTGTTTATTGCACTATTGTACTATAATCAGCACAAATAATTTCTTTTTTTATGTTTTATAGGTTGTAAACTTAAAGTAAGTCCTTTTAATTAAAAAAAAATGTCATGTGTGATACTGCATTTTTCAGCAATTTAATTTTGGTCAATCACCAATTACTATTGAACTATGTATATTATACTTTACATGTTTAATTCCTTAAAAATAATTTACTCTGTTATGAGTTCTTTGAGTTCATAAGTCTTGAAAAATTTCATAAATTGTTTGCCTGGATATTGACTGATGTTGGTTGTTGTTACACTCAACAGCATCCTGTTGAAGAAACAAATCCTGCAAATACAACACAACACAAAAACAACACACGGTAAGAAGTAATAACTTTCTTCAGTCTTGTCATTCAGGTGACAAAGTTATAATAAACCTAATATATATACATATTGTTTGTTTACAGGGAGGAAAACTGAGGAACAAGTTGATTCCCAAGAATCTCAGTCACACCACCTGCTAGTTCTCTAGCAGCCTACTTATTATAGGAGTGTGACATTGCATTCTTCTCCGTGTGCTGTGACCTTGACGTGGTGGAGAAGCTTGAGTTCCTCCAGCAGCTTGAGAACTGTGAGAGCAGGTTCAACCACACTAGTGTAATCACATCTAGGAGGACAAACTAACAACAGCTAGCTTTTAGTAGGGATGGGCGTATCGATCCTGTAGTATGTACAAACCCAATTCCAAAAAAGTTGGGACACTACAAATTGT